AACCCACACCATGGGCTATAAGGTCCATGGAATTCTCCAGGCCAGAATACTGGAGTGGATATCCTTTTCCTTCTCCAGGGGAATCTTCCCAACCCAGAGATTAAAACCAGGTCTTCCACATTGCAGGCAGATTCTTTACCAGTTGAGCCACAGGTGAAGCCTAAGAATACTGGAGTGGGTAGCCTATCCCTTCTCCAGGGGAGCTTCCCCACCCAGGAATCGAACTGGGGTCTCCTGCATTGCAGGCGGATTTTTTACCAACTGAGCTATCAGGGAATTGGAGGATAACTGCTTAGAATGTTGCATTGATTTCTGTTATACATCATGAATCAGTCATATATGTATTATACATATACATAATATATATATATCTCCCCTCCTTTTTGAGCCTCCCTACCCACTCCCCCAATTCTATCCTTCTAGGTCACCACAGAGCAGCAGGCTTGGCTCCCTGTGTTCAATCCCCTATAATCTTACTTAGGTTTTCCACATTTCTCATTCCTTTACCCCATTCAATTTCCTCTTTTAGAAAAAAACAAATGAAGAAAAATGGTGAAAATAAGGCATGCAACAGGTGGAAGACCTGGGTTCGATCCCTGGGTCAGGAAGATACCCTGAAGAAAGAAATGGCACCCCATTCCAGTACTCTTGCCTGGAAAATCCCATGGATGGAGGAGCCTGGTAGGCTACAGTCCACTGGGTTGTGAAAAGTTGGGCACGACTGAGCAACTTCACTTTCACAGGCTTTTAAGTATAATTATTCAGTTACTTCAAATTCTGGAGAGTCATGGAAAATTAGCATCCAGCAAATATTCACTACCATACTGTCAGGATTTTTTTTTTTTTTACTATTACCTTAGAAGTTTTGTTCTCTTGTCTCTTTTCAGAAAAGAAAAGGTGAAAAGTAGAGTAAATTCCTTTGCAACAAAGAAACAGTATTTTATCAGTATATTTTAGCATCTTATTTTTTTTCACTGAAAAGATTTTATTTTGACATTGATAATTCTGTAGATCAACTTATACCTCAAGAAACCTTTTGTCAGAATTTACCTACTGACCCTATATGTTCTGTCCCCCAGGATCCTGAGTGTCCTGCACTAGGACTAAGGTAATAGCCATGGCCCAAGTGTTCCCTGAACTTGTGGAACTGGGAAGAGTCACAACAAAGCTAGAAGGCATTTTTAATACAGCATATTTTACTCATAAGTATGTTAAAAAGCTTCTGGAAGTAGCTTTGCACCTCAACAAGGGTGGGCTTTTATTTCTCCAGAGGTTGATAGTCACATCTTTGCCTCCAAACTGAAGATCTTTTAGATCCTTTTAAAATTCCTCACCTTTATGACAGCCTAACTTGGAATAGAAAATAATAAATGATGTAAGCAAAGTATTAGTATTATTTTATTCTTATTTATATGTCTGGCTCTACACATGGACGTCACCAGATGGTCAATACCAAAAAAGACTGATTATATTCTTGCAGCCAAATATGGAGAAGCTCTATACAGTCAGAAAAAACAAGACTGGGAGCTGACTGTGGCTCAGATCATGAACTCCTTATTGCCAAATTCGACTTAAATTGAAGAAAGCAGGGAAAAACAATAGACCCTTCAGGTATGACCTAAATCAAATCCCTTACGATTATACAGTGGAAATGACAAATAGATTCAAGGGATTAGATCTGATAGAGTGCCTGAAGAACTATGGACAGAGGTTCGTGACATTGTACAGGAGACAGGGATCAAGACCATCCCAAAGAAAAACAAATGCAAAAAAGCAAAATGGCTGTCTGAGGAGGGCTTACAAATAGCTGTGAAAAGAAGAGAAGCGAAAAGCAAAGGAGAAAAGGAAAGATATACCCATTTAAATGCAGAGTTCCAAAGAATAGCAAGGAGAGATAAGAAAGCCTTCCTCAGTGATCAGTGCAAAGAAATAGAGGAAAACAACAGAATGGGAAAGACTAGAGAACTCTTCAAGAAAATCAGAGATACCAAGGAAACATGTCATGCAAAGATGGGCTCAATAAAGGACAGAAATGATATGGACCTAACAGAAGCAGAAGATATTAAGAAGAGGTGGCAAGAAGACACAGAACTGTACAAAAAAGATCTTCATGAACCAAATAATCACGATAGTATGATCCCTCACCTAAAGCCAGACATCCTGAAATGTGAAGTCAAGTGGGCCTTAGAAAGCATCACTACAAACAAAGCTAGTGGAGGTAATGGAATTCCAACAGAGCTATTTCAAAGCCTGAAAGATGATGCTGTGAAAGTGCTGCACTCAATATGCCAGCAAATTTGGAAAACTCAGCAGTGGCTACAGGACTGGAAAAGGTCAGCTTTCATTCCAATCCCAAAGAAAGGCAATGCCAAAGAAAGCTCAAACTACTGCACAACTGCACTCATCTCACACGCTAGTAAAGTAACGCTCACAATCCTCCAAGTCAGACTTCAACAGTACATGAACCATGAACTTCCAGATGTTCAAGCTGGTTTTAGAAAAGGCAGAGGAACCAGAGATCAAATTGCTAACATCCTCTGGATCATCGAAAAAGCAAGAGATGATCAGAAAAACATCTATTTCTGCTTTATTGACTATGCCAACGCGTTTGACTGTGTGGATCACAATAAACTGTGGAAAATTCTGAAAGAGATGGGAATACCAGACCACCTGATCTGCCTCTTGAGAAACCTGTATGCACGTCAGGAAGCAACAGATAGAACTGGACATGGAACAACAGACTGGTTCCAGATAAAGAAAGGAGTATGTCAAGGCTGTATATTGTCACCATGCTTATTTAACTTATATGCAGAGTACATCATAAGAAACACTGGGCTGGATGAACCACAAGCTGGAATCAAGATTGCCGGGAGAAATATCAATAACCTCAGATACTCGGATGACACCACCCTTATGCCAGAAAACAAAGAACTAAAGAGCCCCTTGATGAAAGTGAGAAAGGAGAGTGAAAAAGTGGGCTTAAAGTGCACCATTAAGAAAACTAAGATCATGGCATCTGGTCCCATCATTTCATGGCAAATAGATGGGGAAACAATGGAAACAGTGAGAGACTTTATTTTTTGGGGCTCCAAAATCACTGCAGATGGTGATTGCAGCCATGAAATTAAAAGACGCTTGCTCCTTGGAAGAAAAGTTATGACCAATCTAGACAGCATACTAGAAAGCAGAGACATTACTTTGCCACCAAAGGGTGTCTAGTCAAGGCTATTGTTTTTCCAGTAGTCATATATGGATGTGAGAGTTGGATATAAAGAAAGCTGAGCGCCAAAGAATTGATGCTTTTGAACTGTGGTGTTGGAGAAGACTCTTCAGAGTCCCTTGGACTGCAAGGAGATCCAACCAGTCCATCCTAAAGGAGATCAGTTCTGAATATTTATTGGAAGGACTGATGCTGAAGCTGAAACTCCAATCCTTTGGCCACCTGATGTAAAGAACCAACTCATTTGAAAAGACCCTGATGCTGGGAAAGATTGAAGGTGGGAGAGAAGGGGATGACAGAGGATGAGATGGTTGGATGGCATCACCAACTCAATGGACATGAGTTTGGGCAAACTCCCGGAGTTGGTGATGGACAGGGAGGTCTGGCATGCTGCTGTCCATGGGGTCACAAAGAGTTGGACATGATTAAGTGACTAAACTGAAGTGATATGTCTGTCTCATTGAATGCAAAACTTTCTTGAGAGAATTTATTTTTCACTTTGTAGCTTCCACCAAGAAAAATTAATGCTAATGTACAATCAATACATATTTATTGGACTGATTTGAAATTTCAGTGGGAAAGTTAGAATACAGAATTACTAAATTTCTGGTGCTTAGTAACCTGGGTTTGTATTCTAACCCTATTTACTTCCTGTATAACCTGGTGCAAGTCACCAAAATTATAGCTCAAATTTCCCCAACTCAAAAATGGATGAAATAAGACAATGAATGTAAAGTACAGGGTACTTCTTAAGTTCTATTTATACAATGAGTCTACTTGGTTCCTACAATGCTTTAGTTAGAGGTAGGTGCTGCTAAGAAAAATACAAAACTGGCAATGTTCTTGTCTTCACGGATTTCAAACGGTTGGAGAGACACACAAAAAACAAATAATGACATAAATAAACTAATTACAAACTTCCATGAAACAAAATTAAGAATTTAGTGAGAGTAGGGACTGATTTAGATAGCTGAGAAGGGATCTCTGAGAGAATGGCATTTAAGCTGAAACTTGAAGGATGAAGAGATTCTCTATTTCCTCTCGTTGCTCAACTCTCTTTAGACTGGCTTCCATCTCTCTACCTAAATAGCGCTTGCTAAGGTTGCCAGTGGCTACCACGCTACTATATACATCTGACATTTTTCACGCTCTTACTTCTTAGCAGCACTGAACGCAGTTGGTCACTCCCTCCTTGAGACACTGTCTTCCTTTGGCTTCTCTATGAATAAACGTCTTCTTATCTCTGACTGATTCAGTCAGGGCCTTTGTAGGTATATCTTCTTAACAGCTTGGACAGCCTCGCCGTGAGCTGTAATAGTGAATAAAAACGCAGTCCTTTCGAGTCATAAAAAAGAGCTGTGTACAAGTTAATGCAATTTTTTCGAACTTCTCCTCGCTTCTGGTGCGCAGTATAAAACCACGAAATCTAAAAGTTTTTGGTTTCAGTCGAGGAGCCTCTCTCCCGCGGGGTAAACACCTGTCCACAAATCAGGCGCGGGCGTTCAACCTGACCCTAAGCAGGCAAGTTTGCCTGAAGCGAGAGAAAAGGGAAAAGTCTGGTTTCGCCAGGTGTTTCACGTCTCCTCGGCCACGCTCGCGCCGGCTTGCGGTGAGCCCGGCCCCTCCCCGCGCACCGCCCTCACAGTCGAGTCCTCCGTAGTCCCAGCATTCCCCGCGCCTCTACCATCGAGAGCAACTTCCGGCGTCGCTGCTGTAGGTGGGTGAAGAAGGAGCGGGCCCTCGCTCTTCTGTTTCAGTGCCTCGCGCTCTCTCGGGCAACATGGCGGGTGTGGAGGAGGCAGCGTCCTGCGGGAGCCACCTGAATGGCGACCTGGATCCAGACGACAGGGAGGAGGGAGCTGCCTCTACGGCTGAAGAGGCGGCCAAGAAAAAAAGACGGAAGAAGAAGAAGAGTAAAGGGGCTGCCCCAGGTAAAGGGGAGTTTTGTGTTTTCCCAGTCCCCGCCGGGATGGCCAAACCGCTTGGCTCGGGCTCGGCGTTGGTGACAGGGCCCGGGAACTGAGCACCCTGGACTGACTCCCAGGACTGAACGTGTGTCACGGGAGAGCTGCAGATTCCCAGTCCCGGGAAGAAGTGACTTCTTCCAGGCGTCTTTTGGGTGTGAGGTGGCGGAGAAGAGGGTGCCTCGGTTTCTGTGGGTTGCTGGGACAGAGCTTCTAAATTGCCGGAACTTCGCTCCCACGCAGACGATGCGACGGACTTGAAGCCATGCACCGGGCCCAGCCCTCCCACCTTGCGGGTTGGCCTCCTCCTTGAAAATCTGGTTCTGACCACACTGCCGCCTCTGTGCTGGAGAGACGTGGGACATCTTTTCGTCGAGAGTGGGGGTGGAGTGGGCAAGTCTTAGTGCCTGGATCGCACCTCCCCCTATCATCCTAGTTTACGGAGGGATTTTTGTGGCGCGCCGCACTTTGGAGTTGGGTGTGTGTGAATTTGGGGTGTGTGTTAGAGAGAACGCCCACGCGCTCTTGTCACTGTTTGGGTGGGTACGTGTGTGGATGTGTGATTTTGTGGCGCGCTGCACTTTTGGGGTGTGTGTGTGTGTGAATTTGGGGGGGTGTGTGTCTGAGAATGTGCTCTTGTCACTGAGTAGTAATAGCAGGATGTGTGGCGGCGGTGTGAATCCCCACCGCCTAATCCTACAATATCATCAAGCTTTGGGGCTTTAGGCCTGAATTATGATGCCACTTGTAGGCAGTCTGGATAAAATATGCTTGAGTCCGAATGAAGCTACTCTGAATCCAGTGGTAAGGCAAAGAAAACAGCTGAAAGTTTACAGTTAGATTATAAGTTAGAAACTTAAATATTTGAATATGAGAAGTCATTGTTTTTGATGCATCAAGGCCTTCATTTTTAGGAAAAATTATTTGTACTGTTAAAATCAGCTGCGGAAAGAATGAGAGAAAAATGGAAAGGTCAGAAGTGATGAAGTGGAGTTGAGGGGTTGAAAAGTGTTAATCTGTATCTTTCTGAAATTTTGATTAGTTGGGAGCTGAAGAGGGAGAGTTGTAGGTGCTGGGACACTTTCAGAGCAAAATTTAATTTCAGGACATAATCTGGTGGCTGTTCCTGGCTTTCAGATGAAATCCAAACTCTTCAGTTTGTCCTTTAAGGTGTTTAGCAGACCGATCCTAATATGTTTTTAACAGTTGTGTATCTCAGTATGAATTTTCTGTGGTAGCTAGCATGTCACCTCATGTACTACCTGGTAATGCTACCTCTTTTTACGTATTACTCCTATGGCTAGATTGTAATCCCTTGTAGAGCAGGGCCTGGTCTTGTGTTTAGCTCTTGGGGAATTTTGGTTTTTTTAGTAACGGAATAACTTTTCCTATATATTTTGATTTTACCCTGCTCAGCTTGAGTTTCTATCTGAAGCCCTGAAGCTTCCAGGATTTCCCACAGCTTCTTACTAAGGCCTTCAGCACTTATTGCTCATCTTAAGTTCCTGCTTGGTTAATAAAGTATTTGCTATAGATTAATTGTTAAATACTTTAGAAAGTTAAGCTACTTAAGGGTCGGAACCACCTCATCACTAGCTGTTAGCACAGAGAATGCCTAGTGAGTATCTTGTTAAATGGGCAGTACCACTTAGATATGGAAGATTTTTCTGTCATTAAATAAATTCTATTCTCCTTAACAGTGGTTCTGTTTTTGTTTCCTGAACACTTATCAGGAAGAGTTACGTGTTTTTTAGCTTCCTTAGAACATATTCTAGTGGGAAGATAACTTTGTCAGATTTATTTAGTTGTTATGTTTGATCAACAGGACAACAGGAACCTGATAAAGAAGCAGGAGCCTCAGTTGATCAGGTGGCAAGACAATTGGAAAGCCAAGCATTGGAAGAGAAAGAAAGAGATGATGACGATGAAGGTAAATGATTCATTTGAATTTTATGGTTAGGAGGGCAAGAAAATATAAAGCTGCTTATTTGTCAATATAATCCAATATTCTCTGATATTTTACTTAATTGATGTTAAGACCTTAATTTCACAGGTTAAAAACAAAAAGGTATTTATTAGCAACTCTTTAAAAAGTTGGATATGTTGAATGCTTAAGTAACACAGATCTCAGCTTTTTAAAACGTACTTGGTAAAAAGCCAAGTAGTAGATGAGTATTAATAAGATAAAATTGAATGAATGTTGATCTTACTTTTATTGAACAACTAATATGTACTAGGTACTATCTTAGGACACTTCCATCCATTTTTATTTTACCCTCACAAAAACATAGCAAATAGGAAATGATAGTTACATGATTTGCCCAATCTGACACAGCTAGTATGTGTAAATAAAGTCAGTTTCAAATCTAGCACCTGTGCATGTTAAATCACTTCAATCATGTCTGACTCTTTGTGACCATATGGACCGTAGTGCAAGTCTCCTCTGTCCATAGGATTCTCCAGGCAAGAACACTGGAGTGAGTTGCCATGCTCTCCTCCAGGGGGTCTTCCTGATTCCAAGTCTGTTCCTTGTACTCTATCAAAGTACTTTTATTTATTTTCAAAGGAGCACATTGGAGTGCTTCTAATATTATGAATTTGCTGGCCCCAAATCCTTGTATTTTGGAGCTTTTGCCAAAGGTTTCTATAAAGACAACACTTCTTGGAATTGTAGGAATTGATGCTTGTCAATATGACAGTGGAGGGAGTGATTAGTTGGGAGAATTATTATTCTATAGCCTCTTTAGGCAGAAGAGGAGATGGGGCTTCCCATTCTTAATTATATACTGCTGTGAGCTATTCTTCCTCAAGCACTGCCAGCTAGGGCTTATGCCTTCCAATCTTTAGCAACAAATACCTGTTGTACTTTTCTTGTGTTAGGATAATGCAAAGCAGTTGTGCTTCCTTTAGGAAGATAAGTTCTGTAAGCCTTCAAAGAGATTATGGTCAAATTTAGTAAAAAAAAAAAAAAAATTGCCAAGAATTGATACCAAACATGGACACTGGGTTGTAGCAAAGGAAAGTACAGTGCTTAATTGGAAAATGCCAAACAGGGAGAATGGACATCTCATGCTCAAAATCTCTGAGGGCTTTTTGTTGTTCAGTCACTCAGTCATGTCCAACTCCTTGCCGACCACGTGTCTTGTGGCCCTCCAGGCTTCCCTTTCCTTCACTATCTCCTGGCATTTGCTCAAACTCATGTTCATTGAGTCAGTGTTGCCATCAAACCATCTCATCCTCTGTCGCCCCCTTCCTTCTGCCCTCACTCTTTCCCAGCATCAGGGTCTTTTCCAATGAGTCGGCTCTTCTATCAGGTGGCCAAAGTGTTGAAGCTTTAGTGTCAGCATCAGTCCTTCCAGCATAATAATCAGGAATGGTTTCCTTTAAGATTGACTGATTTGATCTCCTTTCTGTTCATGGGACCCTCAAGAGCCTTCTCCAGCACCACAATTTTTTTGGCACACAGCCTTCTTTATGGCTGTGCATGACTACTGGAAAAACCATAACTTTGACTGTACAGACCTTTGTCGGCAAAATGGTGTTTTTGCTTTTCTAAGGAGCAAGCATCTTTTAATGTCATGGCTGCAGTCACCCTCTGCAGTGATTTTGGAACCCAAGAAAATAAAGTCTGTCACTGTTGCCATTTTTTTCCCTATCTATTTGCCGTGAAGTGATGGGACTGGATGCCATGATGTTTGTTTTTTGAATGGTGAGTTTTAAGCCCGCTTTTTCACTCTCTTCTTTCACCTTCATCAAGAAGCTTTTTAGTTCCTCTTCATTTTCTGCCATTAGAGTAGTGTCATCTGTGTAGCTGAGGTTATTGATATTTCTCCCGGCAGTCTTGATTCTAGTCTGTGCTTCATCCAGCCTGGCATTTCACATGATGTACTCTGCATGTAAGTTAAATAAGCAGGGTGACAGTAGACAGCCTTGACGTTCTCATTTCCCAATTTGAAACCAGTTTGTTGTTTCATGTCAGGTTCTAACTGTTGCTTCTTCACCTGCATACAGGTTTCTCAGGAGGCAGGTAAAGTGGTCTGGTATTCCTGTCTCTTAAAGAATTTTCCACAGTTTGTTGTAATCTGCACAGTCAAAGGCTTTAGCATAGTCAGTGAAGCAGAAGTAGGTGTTTTTCTGGAATTCCCTTGCTTTTTCCATGATCCAGCGGATGTTGTCAATTTGATCTCTGGTTCCTCTGCATTTTCTAATTCAGCTTGTACATCTAGAAGTTCTCAGTTCACATACTGCTGAAGCCTAGCTTGAAGGATTTGAACATTATTTCTCTAGCATGTGAAATGAGTGTAATTGTATTGTAGTTTGAACATTTTTTGGCATTGCTCTTCTTTGGGATTGAAATGAAAACTGACCTTTTCCAGTCCTGTGGCTACTGCTGAGTTTTCCAAGTTTGCTGGCATATTGAGTGCAGCACTTTCACAGCATCATTTAGGATTTGAAATAGCTCAGCTGGAATTCCATCACCTCCACTAGCTCTGTTCGTAGTGATGCTTCCTGAGGCCCACTTGACTTTACACTCCAGGATGTATGGCTCTAGGTGACTGGTTGACACCATGGTGGTTTTCTGGGTCATTAAGATTTTTTTGTACAGTTCTTCTGTGTATTCTTGCCACCTCTTCTTAATATCTTCTGCTTGGTTCATACCATTTCTGTCCATTATTGTGTCTATCTCTGCATAAAATGTTTCCTTGGTATCTAATTTTCTTGAAGAGATCTCTAGTCTTTCCCATTCTATTGTTTTCCTTTTCATTGTTCTCTTAAGAAGGCTTGCTTTTTCTCCTTGCTGTTCTTTGGAACTTCTAAAACAAGGCTTTTAGGGAAGGATTTTTAAAGGCAGCATTAGGGGTGAGGGTTGCCATGTGTCTGATCAGTGTGTGGACATTCTTCTGATCGGTTGTTTGTGCACTATCAGGGTGACTTTTTGGGAATCTCAGTTATCAGTTTTCTGGCTTCAATTTATCTGGAGTCAGCATACAGTCTGGTGGTTAGCATACAGCTAACTTTTCTGCCTGGTAGGGGGTTTAGTATCTGCAAACCAGCTCAAGAATGTGGCTCAGTATTATCTATAGCCCTTGAGGAGAAACTAAAGGTCCTTTACTCTGTATGGCTAAACTGTTATGATTTTGTGTTGTTGGACTGTTGTCCTTTGTTTCTGGGTTTTTCTCATGTCTCTGGTTAAATTTGCTCTTTGGAACTCAGGGAAAGCCTAAGAGTTTAAAGCTCTTTTACCACCAAGAGGCAGGATCTGTCCCACAGAGTCCTGCTTGGTTTCAGACTCAAGGAAAAGGAAATTAGTTAGATTTTTGTTTTCTTTAAGCAGACGTCTTGTCCATTGTGCCTTGGTTTATACTTCAGATTATGAACATAGTTTGAACTCTTAACAAGAACAGTAATTATAAATTCCAGGTTGCTGTTGACTCACTACGTGTAGAGTATCAGCTGCTTTGAAGATAATGCCTTGTTTCATTGCACTTCTACAGAGATATATGAATCTCTAGACATTGAAGGAGGAAATTTTGCTTTTCAGAATGGAAATCTTCAATGTATTAAAGAAGATTTTAGAAATATTAGTAGTTTTCAACAGTTTGGTTCATCATATTCCTAATTCATTTTGATAATGAGGATCAGCCAATACTGTTTAATTGTGTGAGAAGTCTGAGTGGATGGAAAGCTAATAGTTCAGTATCTTTGTTCTTAAGGAAAATTGATCATTGTGGAGGACAAAACATAGAGGTGGTAAAGTATACTGGTACCTGCAGTAAAAGTTACTGAAATTTGGAGGTGGAATTGTGAGCTGATTGCTGAAGGAAAGCTCATTTGACGGAATGGAACTTAAATAAAAGCCAAGCAAACAGGACCATTTTGGGGCAGGACAATGCTGAGAGAGTATTCAAAGTGTAGTAAACAGTGCATACTGGCTTCATTATGAGGTGATTCATTGAGGGAGTCTCTGATCAGTTCCTTTTTCCCATTTTTCATTTGTTCATTCTTTTTTCCTCCCAGTTTTATAATTGGCATACAGTTCTGTGTATGTTTAAGGTATACAGCACAATGATTTGACTTATGTACATCGTAAAATGATTACCATGTAAGCTCAGTGAATATCCATCATCTCATATAGATACAAAATAAAAGAAAAAAATTTTTTTCCTTGTGAGAACTCTTAGGATTTACTATTTTAAGAATTTTAATATAAAACATAAAGCAATATTAATTATATTAATCATGTACCTTACATCTCTCAAAGACAGAGATTCGCTCAATTGTGTCTGACTCTTTGTGACCCCACAGACTATAGCCTGCCAGGCTCTCTGTCCATGGGATTCTCCAGGCAGGAATACTGGAGTTGGTTGCCATTCCCTTCTCCAGGGATCTTCCTGACCCAGGGATCAAACCTGGGTCTCCCACATTGCAGGCAAGTTCTTTACCATCTGAGCCACCAGGGAAGCCCTTGTAGTAATTTATCTTCTAGCTGGAAGTTGTACCTTTTGACCACCTTCATCTGCTCACCCTGTCTCTGGTAACCTCAAATCTGATCTCTCTTTCTATGAGTTTGAGCATTCTTAAAAGAAGAATGTTATGAAAAGATAATATAGTCTTCATGTACATGCAGGTTTGTTAGAAGTGAGGAAATAGAGGCATGGAGATCATTTTGGAGGCCAGTTGACAATAGCCTCAGGCATGTGGTAATGAGAATGGAAAGGAAGGGTCCAATGGAACAGTGATCGTGGAAGCAAAATTCCAAGGATTTAGTGGCTTTCAGTCTGGATAGAGGGCTTTCATGTTGTCATGAAAGAGTCGACACAACATAATGACTAAACAACAACGAAATCTGGAGAGGAGAATAGTGGAGAAATTAGCAGACTCTAGGGGTCTAGGTTTCAAATTTGGGTGACTGGATGGTGGTACCATTGATTGAAATGGTGAGGTAAAGAGGGAAAGTTGGTTCAGAGATTAGAAGAGGGTGCTGCAGGCAAAAAAGGTTATGCTGAGTTTAATTTTAGATTTGTTTATTTGCAAACGGGGGTATTGATGTGGAAAGGTAATCCTGTGGGTTTTTGGCGATGTGCTAACCCTGGTGGCTCAGATGATAAAGAATCTGCCTGCAGTGCAGGAGACTAGGGTTTGATTCCTCGGTCAGGAAGATCCACTCCAGTATTCTTGCCTGGGAAACTGTGGAGAGAGGAGCCTGGCAGGCTACAGTCTGTGGGGTCTCAAAGAGTCTGACACAACTGAGCCCCACACCCAACATATAGACCATATACCATATCCATTTAACATTTTCATCCCCACACAAAATGTTCCCTTTGCCCTTTTGTAGTCAGTTCTCTTGCTCTATTTGCTGACTTCTGGTAACTTTTGATATATTTTCTGTTCCTATAGTTTTTTCTACAATACTCTGTGAATGGAATTTTTATAGTATGCAGCCATTTTGGTGTTTGGCTTGTTTCACTTAGCATAATATTTTTGAGAGTTAACCAGTTGCATATGTATCAGTAGTTTATTACTTTTTATTGCTGAGTAATATTCCAAATTTGTCCATTTACTAGTTAATGACTATTTGGATTGTTTCCAGATTTTGTCTCTTATGGATAAAGTTACTGTGATCATTTGCATACGTGTAGGCTTATGTTTTCATTTCTTCTGAGTAAATACCTAAGAGTACAGTTGCTGGTAATGTGGTAAGTGTATGTTTAACCTCATAAGAAACTTATCAAGCTGTTTTGCATTCTTGTCAACAGTGTTTGAAAGTTCCGGTCCCTTTGTATCCTCATAAGCACTGGTACTGTTTATTTTAATTTTAGTCCAGTAGGTGTATAGTGGTATGTCATCTTTTCATATTTTTATTTGTCTTTCATTTATCTTTGAAGTGTATGTTCAGTACCATTTGTCTGTTTTCAGTTGGGCTATTTGTTGTCACACGGAGGTGTGAGTAGTTCCTTATGCAGGTTCTCCGTCAGTTTTATATTTTACAGCTTTTCCCCCCATGCTTGTGTTGTTTGTAGCAGAAAAGATTTTAACATTGATGAAGTCCAGTTTATCAACTTTTTTCCTTTCTGGGTCATGTTTTTTTATGTCCTGTCCAAAACTTAAATAATTGATTTCTTTAAAGTCATGAAGATTTTTCTCTTATATTCTTTTCAGTAAGTTTTGTATGTGTCATAAATGTTAAAAGGAAGAACTGCTTTATGTATATAATGTTTTATATGCTTAGGTCTATGTCCATTTAGAATTAATTTTTATATAAAGTAAGGATTGAGATTCTTCTTCTTTTTTTTTTTTTGCATATTGATGTCCAGTTGTCATATCAGGTATTAATTGATCGGGCATAGTGCTAATGCAGAAAAGAATGGTCTCTGTCTATTTAGAGTATCCTGAGATGCTCTGACAGACAGACATTAAAAACATAAATTGTAGCATGGTATGATAGGTGGAAAGGACTTCCCTGGTGACTCAGGCGGTAAAGCGTCTGCCTACGGTGTGGAAGACCTGGGTTTGATCCCTGGGTCGGGAAGATCTCCTGGAGAAGGAAATGGCAACCCACTCCAGTATTCTTGCCTGGAAAATCCCATGGACGGAGGAACTTGGTAGGCTACAGTCCATGGGGTCGCAAAGAGTCGGACACGGCTTCACTTCACTCTGATAGGTGAAGTATGAGCATATGGTATTAAAATTTAGATCCTGGCTCTACCATCATTCTAGCACAAGTGGCCGTTTTTCTGTGCTGAATAGCAACCTTGGACATTGGATAAAATAATTAACCTTAGAAGGATGATCCAGTATCAGAGGAGGAGCTTCATCTTACCCATTTTAAAGATGAAGATACCATGGTGGTGGAGGCTGATTAACTTGCTCAAGGTCACAGTGCTGGTATGATTTTGAACGTGTGTTTAAAACTGGTTATACATCATGAAGCCTTTGTTGCAGGTTCAGTCTAAGTAAATTGCAGTGTGCTACGTTGAATATTTGTCCAGAACAAAGACTGTCTTGTTTACTGTTCTGTCACTGAAGAACTCAGCACACATTTATTGAATGAATGAAGAAGGCTGCTGTTAAAACTGTAAAGCACAATATGCTAATTAGATTATATGACACGAGGATGTTGAAAGTTGTGTTTTCCAAAATTTTTAGTGTTGTTTTCGTTAAAGCTTTGACTTCAGAAACCACTAATGAGTAAATCAGTAGTATTTGTTTTCCCTACTGTGTTTCTGTTGATATTATAAGATTGAATATAAGAAATGTAATTTTGTTGGTCAAAAATTGTCAAATAGTTGTAGTTTCCTATCACTCATCCCATTAAAGCCTTAGATTATGTTACCTCCCTCTTTGCCAAACTGCTGTTTCCTATTTCTCAATTTGGTGAAAATAAATATAAACAGGATAAACTAAAAGAACACTCATTTGTTGAATAGATTGAATATTTATCATGTGCTTGGCACTGTGCTTAATGGTGTCTAACCCTTAAGGAGCTCGCAGACAAGGAGAGGTCAGTATGCATCAGTGACTGAGTGGTGATTAGAACATAGAGTTAATGTGCTGAGATTCCTTCTCTGGCTTTTATCAGTCTAGCAGTGAAAATGGAGCACTTTGAACAGAAAATATAAGCACTCATTTGACATTTTTTGATGTGTGGATTTTACTAAAATTATTAATGCTAAATAAACATGAGTTACTACCACTAGGTGAAACATTTTAAAAAATACTATATGCTAGGCATACTGTTAAACTATCAACTTCTACTAATCGGAAACAGTGTCCCATTCATCCCTTTTTCTTAGTTATGTTATTTGTGGGTAGATAAGCATACTTCAGAAATGATTGTTAGAATGTATTGAGCAGCATTTTTAGAAATTCAGATACTTAGGTCTATTTTTGATACCTTTATTTAAAATACTTTTAACTCCCTAATTAATCTTGGTCATAATTCTTTGTTTTTTTTCTCTAAGTTTATGGGCTTTGGGCTGCATAGAAAGTTGCCATAAAAACTGACAAGCAGATTGTGGCTGTTTTGGATGGTCTTTTGCCAACTGTTTTTTGAAATAGTTCTCAGTTTTGGTCATCAGGTGCCTTTGAGAATCTGAGAACTATGAACCTAGGAAAAGTAAGTTTTTTTTTTTTGTATACAATTTGACGCATAAAGAGAACTTTTTCTCTGATAACAACTAGGTAGGAAAAGGTTTTTTTAAAATATGAGACCCCAAAGTCTGTTCTGTACATCTGTGTCTCTTTTTCTGAGAGAATAACATTGAAACAAGTATACTCTCAAGGGTGAAACAGATCACCAGCCCAGGTTGGATGCATGAGACAAGTGCTCAGGGCTGATGCACTGGGAAGACCCAGAGGGATGGGATGGGGAGGGAGGCGGGAGGGGGGATCGGGATGGGGAACACATGTAAATCCATGGCTGATTCATGTGAAGGTATGGCAAAAACCACTACAATATTGTAAAGTAATTAGCTTTCAACTAATAAATGAAAAAAAAAAATGAGACCCCAGTTACCTCTCACTGGATTAGGAATCAAGTGATATTCTTGGTCCATTTCTAGTATTTATCTATTAGGATTATCTTGGGCATGTCCCTTAAACATTTCTTGTTAGGATTGTTTTGAGAATCACATGAGATTGTGAAATACAAGTATTTAACTGCAAAACATATATCAACTGTAACTAGTATCCTTTCCTATGAAGTCATATAGTCATTATTATACTGGTATTTAAGTAACACTAGTTATTTTTCTTAGCTTTAAAAAAATGTTATTTAATACATTGTTTCTTAAAATGTCTTATTCAACAATTCTTGTATCTAGAATAAGTTAAAGTTTACTAGTGCCTTTGATTGCACAAGTCAAATTCTGATACTTGAAGCTAACAATATAAAAAATTCTAAGAGTATTGGGTCAACTTTGTCCTGTGCTATTTAAGATGCACTCTATGTACTTGTGTGCTTGTTTTGTCCCTCTGCTTATAAGGTTTAAATGAATTTGACATGTCTTCTCTTAGATGGTGATGGAGATGGAGCAGCTGGAAAGAAGAAGAAAAAGAAGAAGAAGAAGAGAGGACGTTAGTGTCTTTAGTTGATCCTACTTGCCAAATTACAAGTGATTATTAATCAGCAGGCTTGAAGAGTAGGTTTGAAGTTGCTTAAGATCCTGGTATATGTTAGGGAAATGAATGATGGCCTAATAGAGTTAGAATTTAGTGAAACTTAACTAGTGTTTGGCAAGTAGTTTTAACAGTCTTATTTTCTTCAGTTATTTAGTCAATATTAATAGTAAGTTGGTTGCATTTTACTGCAAGTTAAAAAATTTTTATAATTTAAAATTTTAATAATTCAGATAATTTTGTCAGTGATGACTTAAATAATGCCACCATGTGGTAATAGAATAAACAATTTGCAGTTCACTTACCAGTTTTGATATTAAAGAGATCTTGACAAATTTAATGAGGAATCCCATTATTTAAAATTTGTGAATATGGTGAATTTTTATTAGGAATATTTGTATTGTGTTATTTCAGATTCACTTAAAATATGATCCTGCTTGTATTTTGTTTCTGTAAATAATACAGCCAAACATCTTAAGGGACCTGAAACTCTTAGGGAGAATAAGGGGTGACTGTAGTACTGGGGAACAAAGATTGGGTTGGGAATCAGAATGAGTTCTAATCTTGGATACCCTTTGGCATCAGAGACCGTTGATTCTGGCTAAATCTTTAGGATAAAGTTTTATGAATGAGAATATTGAGGGTTTGACTTTCATTTTTATCTCTGTGTTGAAAATACTTATTTTAAAAAAAAGCTGTTAGCTCTGCCAGACATTTCCCTGATACATCTCTAGGTGGAAATGGGCTTGCTTGCTTTCTAGTCAGGCATCTGTTCTGGTTAGATCCTTCCACTCAGGACTTCAGTTCTGCCTCTAGCATAATCTGTATTTAATAAGCATAGATTACTTGCTTTCTAGGAATCTCTAGGAATTATAATGTCACATCCCTTTCATTCAAAAATTGTTCATAGAGTTCTTTTAAGACATGTTACCTGAAAATGGCTTGAGAGAGATCTATTTCTCAGATACTCTAAAGTCGCTTCCTAATGAAGGTAGATAAGCAGGGAGGAGTGTTAAGAGGCTGCTTTGTATTTGCACTTGATATACTGTTCCACTGATAGGCATTTTAGTATGATACCATCAGCCTTTATTGTGCCTCCTCTAAGGAGGTTGTTGAACTTGCTGTTAATTATATTTCTTTATGAGCACTCTTGAAAGACCTCTCTCTGTCTGATCTTAGTATCAAGAATAATTGTGCTTTTCCTGAGTAGTTAATGTGTTTTGTTGCAGAAATATGAACTATGCAAATAATCTAACCCCCCCCCCGCCCCTTTTTTTAATTGACTGCTAGAGGATTTAGAGCCAAATCTAGTTTTGTATTGGCCTCATTTCAGGTTCTATTTTAGGTTCTTTCTGTGTTTTGATTTTTTGCTTTCTAATTTGCTTTGAATGTGTCTTATTTGTGTCATAAATCACTTCTGAAATAATCCAAGTAATGTAATCAGGAGCAGTTTACTGCCTTCATTTTCCTCATCTATAAAGTGAGAGAATTGTAAGTGATAGTTAACAATTAAGTGCAATACAGATACTTCTAATTGTTCATAGTTTTAGATAATAGCTTGGACATAGTAGATTATAATTTTCAAAGGTTATCCAAGATTGCATCTAGTTCTTCGTTTTGTAGATGAGGAAACTGAGGCTTAGCACATTTAGCCATTTGTCCAAGTCACAGCTACTAAGTGGTAAAGGTTAGGCTTCAACTTACTTTGATTACAAATTCTTTACATTTTCTCTGATGATCTTTTTGAGTCCTTTATCTTGTCTTAGTAATTTGTGGACAATATAGAAGGCATCTTTATTAGATTTGTAGATGAAATAAATTTCAGGATTATGAGATAATCCTTTGATTGGCAAAAAACAAGATTTCAAAAGACAACTGAATTATTAACAATCTGAAATTTAAATAGGCATATATAAAATTAGTGTAAGGTGATAGGTAGGATCCTAAGGATTTTGGATGCTTGTACAATGAAGGAAAATGTTAGGAATCCAGACCTTTCAGTAGCAGCAGGATTTTTAGAATCAATAATGTAGTCTTATACTGATTATACCTTATTTGAACTATTAGTAGAAGTCAAATCTAGTACCAGCTTAAACACTGAGAAGGCTGGTGAGTATGAGTGAAAGTGTTAAGAACCGAATCCTTTAAAGTGCCTTCTCGTCATAGAGAGGAAGGAAGCATCAGTGAAGAGTAAAATTTTTTCAACTGCAAAGACTAAAGTAGAGCTAACAGATGAAAGTAATGGGGATGTTGCTTTCTAGCAGTTACAGTTCTCCCAGAATGAATGGGTTTTAGCTGGGGAGTAATGACTGCCTTCATTGTCAGGCATATAGTGCCATCTGTCAGGGATGTTAGAGGATTCCTGGATTTCAATGTGAAGCTTAATTAGGTGACATTTAAGGTCATTTTTATTTCAAAATTCTAAATGTTCCCTCTTATGAGGAAGCTAAAATGGTGTTTCCCAAGTTTACTTGCCCGTAGAACAATTCTAAACACTACACAAAAAGAGGAAAATAGTGTTCATGAAATACTGAGTATTCCATTAAAAGAAGGAACCAAAAAGTGGTTCTGTAGATAAATGATTTGGCTCAATTGTCATAAAATATGTGTTAAAATTTCAGATAAAAAATCTGTAACATAAAACAGGTTATAATCAAAAGATAACCAAGGTTATATTCAAAATTAGGGTTAGGGTTAGCTCTTCAGCTTGGTAGTTGGTAAATGCTGCAGGTATACATCAAAAGTCATGTATTATTGAATAAATTATGTAAGTTCCTGACATTCCTTGGACACAGCATTGTTCTTCATAGAGTAAGAAGTGTATAACTAGGTCTTATGCAGACTTTTAGAAGACACATCTCTTAAATATTTTTAAAAAGCATTTTGGAACAGTGGTGTCTTAGAATATAGTTTGGGAAATAATGTGTCCTTAACAAATATGCTAAGTACTGAAACTTTCCAAGTATTTGGAAATTTCTATGTGGTTCCTAAAGTCTTTTAGCACTGAGGATGTATATTCTTTAACCTTTATACGTCATATACCCTTCCAATAATTTTTTTACCTGTTTTATTAATACATAATGGCTTTTTATTTTATTGCTGTAGGATTTCTTTCTTATTTTCTTGTCGCTTCTTTGATTTTTATTTGTGAAAGCTGCTTCTATATGCTATTCCATTTCCAGTATAGTAAATGAAGACAAACATTAGAAGTGTTCTTTGTGCCAAAGCATATACTGTTTAAATACATAATGGAATTATGAGGAGTTGGATATTTTTATTCCTAAATAACTGTAAATAAGAGGAGATGGCCACTGTGGTGAAATATCTTCTGTTTTTAACTGTAAAAGTGACAAGGAGATTCCTTAGTCAGGACATGTAATAACAATTAGGAACTGAGAAAAACTGTAATGATAACTGCTTAATTTTGTTTTTAACTACAGAAGTTAATGCTTTATTTGTATCTCACAGCAAAAGTTCAAACAGACCCTCCCTCAGTTCCAATATGTGACCTGTATCCTAATGGTGTATTTCCCAAAGGACAAGAATGCGAATACCCACCCACTCAAGATGGGTAAGGATCACAAAATAACTTCCAGTTTGACGTTCAAAAATTATAGCTTAGCAATAAAGCAGATTTGATTTTTCATGGAACTTTGCTCTACTACCTAAATAAAAAAACTTACGAATTTGTTGCAGAGAAAATACAGTAGAAGCCCTCTTATCCAAAATGATTGGGACCAGTAATTGGTTAATCGTTATTGATAAGAGTTAACTTAAAACAGGCATTTGTTTTTCATCATTGTTGATCCTTAAGTGTAGATCGCATTGGACTCCACTTTTTTTTTTTCCTGTGAGCTATATTCATAATGCACTGAGTCCATTCCATTTTGAGTTTCTGTGAATAGCAAGAACTAAGTAATCTGAGGGCTGATGGCTATGTCTTTACATCTTTTTTTCTGAAATCATTTCCATTTGACAGAAGTATTTTTTGATAGCTTGCCTTTAATGAAACTTCTCTGAGTAGTCAATTTAGTTTTCATAGAAACAATTCTTTTTAGTAATGTATAATTAAATTACATCATTGCAGTAACAAGTACAGATGACTGGTTTGGGCACAGATCACTTGACTTTTGGAAGTGTTCTGAAAGAGTACTTTTTTTCTGGTTAGCAGACTAGTTAAGAGTCTGGATGCTGTGACCAAACTATCTGCATTTGAATCCCAGTTTTAACACTTACTAGCTTTGTGACTTGGGCAAGTAGTTTTATCATGTTTGTGCATTCATATCCTAATCCATAACATGGGCACTTAATAGTGTTGTGAGAAATAACATTTAGTATTTAATAGAGTGATAGACACATATAAGCATTAAGTAAGTGTTAGCTACTGTTATTCAGAACAGGAACCCAACCACTAATATTCAGAATACAGTGAGCATTGGTTCATATAGTTTATAAGGATAATCAGGAGCATTGGTTAATCCAGTGGTTGCAATAGTTGGTTAAGAAAGCTTCTACTGTACCATTGTTTCCTTGACCTATATAAAGACATCATTGTTTTTCTTTAAACTTAGAAAGAAACATGATGTTATGTCTTACAGCATGGGCATTTTTTCTTTGAATTTGAATACATCAGTCACTGTCCCTATCTTAAGCATTTTAGGATGTCATAAACATGGAGTTTTGTATTAATTACCTAAATTTTCATGGTACATATGATGTGATCACACTTATTTTTCAATATAATCTTTTTGATTTTTTTTTTTGCTTGCTTGTTTCCTCTTCCTTCCCTTTCTTCCAGACCCATGTAACCACCTAGCAGGTAGCCTTCCATATTTTTCTGTGTCCATGTATGTGTACATCTGTCTCTACTTGTGTAAGGAGAGTGTTTTGGTCATTATTTGGTGTACAAAAATAGAATTGTAGGTATAGTTTTTTCTCCTCCGTGCTTTTCTCATCAGGGCTGCATCTTGGAAGTCCCTCCAAGTCAATCAAAATATTGATTGATTAATAAGCTCTGTTATTCTTTTGAATGGCTGCATAATATTCTGTGGTGTGATCATATAGTGCTTTATTCCATTTTAATTTATGAGCATTCACTTTGCCTCCATTTTTTTTTTTTGCCATTATAAACCATTTGCAATAGGCATGTATATTCTTATGCATATATATGTATGTATACATATATGTGTTTGGATAGACACATATATATCTCCATATATGCTGACAGTTTTATTACGTGATAGTTCTTCAGGAGTGGAATTGCCAAATTAACATACTAATATTTTATGATTCCCACATTGCTAGTGATTTTGAGTGTCTTTTGATTATTGGTTTTATTCTTTTGCTCTTATAGAAGTTTAAAGATTTTGAATAATAGTATATATTCGTATTTTGTACTTTTGTGTTCTTAGCAGTCTCTTATTTTCTCAAAACTATTTTTTTTGTTTTATTACATCTTGAATTGGTCTGGAATTTTTTGTCTAAGGTTGGGAATGCTAATTTTATTTTGTTTTAAATGGGTCATCAGTTGTGTTAGAGTTGTTTGTTTAGTAGTTTCATTCTATTTAATTGAATGACCGCTTTTGCCATATTCTATTCTCATGTAATGGAACTCTATTTCTATTCTCTTGAATAATGGAACCAATTTCTGTATTATTTATTCTGTTCCACTCATCTCTATTTCTGTAGTATTTATTTTGATAATTTGATGAGTCAATGTTCTTCTTCTCTGCCATACAGCCCAACCAAACATAACTCTTCTTATAGTTTTCTTAGGTACTTTTGGTCATATTTTTAGTTTTAACACACATATGCACAGAAAAATGCCCTTCTTACTGGAATCCCATCATAATTATGTATTTGTTTCAGAAAATTGACAGTTGTATCATAGTATCCATTGTCATTATATATTTTCCACCCCATTCTGATTTTTTTTTTAATGTATGTCCTCTCTTTGTTATATTTGTTTGTAAAGGTTTTATTCTGTTACTGATGTGAACAAGATATTTTTATTTCCATTTCTGTTTTCTAATTGCTGAAGGGCCAGAAAGCCATTGGTTTCCTATACTTGTTAACACACTGTTAATAGGAAACTGAAAGTAATGTTTAATACAAGGAAAAAATTGGAAGTTTTGTATATCTTAGAAACTACCCTTTCCTTTTGCTGTCATTTTCTGATGCAAATTAAACATTGTGTAAGTAAAGTAGCTTCTGTTTTTGAAACAATACAGGAAGATATTATACACTATAATATCTCTTGGAGTAATATGTGTACTATTTTTCTGAAGTATTTGAGAGTACATTGTACATTTTTGGTGGGTGACTAGATAAGTAGATATTTTGTCCTTTTCGTGGTTGTCACATATGCAGGCTCCTGATGTCAGTTTCTTTCACTTGGGTAAGATATTATTCAGTTTCTTTTGGTGTATCATTATTCTTTTCCCTCTTGTAATTGGTAATTTTGGGGAAGTTACTTTGAGAATGTAAACATCTCATTCCTTAGGAACATCTTCCTTACATGTAGAAATTCATGATTTTGGAAATCGGTTTTTACTAGGGTGGTTGTTGCTCTTAAATTTTTTTTAAGATTTTATGTGTATTTTCTGTGTTATTAAAAATTTTTGAAACCACTTTTTAATGGCTCTAATGATGTTCTGTATCTAGCCTGATTTTATTAGTTATTTCCCTGTTTTCAAGTATTAATACTGTTTTCAATTTTTTACCACTAGAGAAATTTCTGTGATGAACATCTTGGTATGTTAATTGAATCTAATTTTTCTCATTCTGGATCACTAGAAATGGAACAAAGAATTATTTGAAATTCTTGATTTGTATTTCTGAATTCACTAGGCAGTTTTTGGGACATTTGTTAATTTTACAAGCAATACATATTCATGGTAGTACAATTAGAGAATATAGATAAGCAAAAAAGAAGAACATAAAAATTTCTGTAAATCTGCCTGTGAATTAAAATCAGTTTACTGTCTGTTATATGAGTTTTACCTTATTTGACCTCTTGGTTAATGTGGTTATAGCCAGTTGTTTCTTATTTAAAGTTCTTTTTGCAGTTTCCAAGTAATCTGTAGGGTACTGTTAGAATATTCTTTTTTTTTTTTTAAACAATCTTAATTATTTTAATACCTGTTGATGATCCTTGCTTTGTCAATTATTTTATGAGGACTTCAGAATGATGAATATCTAATTCCATATTTTTTTCTACATTTGTTGACATTATTCTATAAGAACTTTACCAACTATAGTTGGGAACCAACTGTACTGTCTTCTCATAGGCAGTTTAAACACGCATTTTTTTTTTTTTCCTGCCAAGCCGTACGGCTTGTGGGATCTTAGTTCCCTGACCAGGGATTGAACCCAGGCCCTTGGCAGTGGAGAGCGGAGAGTTCTAACCACTGGACTACCAGGGAATTCCCTCTTTTTCTCTTTAAATACCACTTTTCACAGGAAGGAGTTGGTGTCATCATGCATGCTTTATTATTTCTGGGCTAACGACATGTCTTTTTTTAAGATACGCATTTTTAAATGGTTTTGGTAAATGTGGCATGTAGTACCTTAAAATGCAAATAGTGGCTCAGATGGTAAAGAATCTGTCTGCAGTGTGGGAGACATGAGTTCAGTCCCTGGGTCAGGAAGATCCCCTGGAGAAGGGAATGGCAGCCCACTCCAATATTCTTGCCTGGAGGATCCCATGGACAGAGGAGCCTTTCAGATACCTTTGTTTGTGTCTTTTGGTCTTCTATTTTTTCTGCTTTTAACACATCCACTAATAAAAATGATGAAATATTTAAGACTCAGAAATCAAAGAGGTGTGAAGAATTTACATATTCTATAAACATTTCCTGTAAAGATTCTCTTGCAATCAACTGTTTCGATAGTTTTGTTTTGCAGACATAATTTTGTAAAAACGGATATGTCACCTGTCAGTTTAATTAATTCTAAAATATTTGTTATGACTTAGAATGATTATTTATAAGTTTTTGTTAAGTAAACTGAACATCAAAAAATCAAACTTAAGAAAAGGGAGACTCCTTCATATTTTCTCTTTCACTTGGGCCTTGAATTAAGATTATAGACCCTGACAGTAGGTTCTCCAGTATCTCTAATGACTTTCATCTTGAACTCAAGACTTAGCAAAATAATTTATTTAAATTCAGTTTTTGATCGATAGTTCTTTACTAACAATGCAGAACATTACATAATCTTGTGAGAAATCCACTGTTTAAAGAGTCAGCCATGCAACCTTTAGAAGTGTAAGATAGTCATGAGATCTATTGACTTCAATATTGGGGATCTTTATTGTATCATGTTCTGATTGTAAAATGTCAAATATTATTTGAAATTTAATTAAACTTACGTTTTAACCTATAAGAAATCACTTTGAAGAATCTTAATGGTTGGGTTGAGAAGAAATTGGGAATTCATAATGACCGATTCCATTTTCATTGCCCTGAATTCATGATATCCATCAGTTCCCTGTGGACATAGCCTTTTGTCTTACCACTCTGTAGAATAAACATTAGCTGATACTTTTGCTTTCCACAAAATCTTTGGCTTTTGAAGCAAAAGATGCTTCAGTCTTTACTGCCAGGTATGGCTGTATCTATATGTGCCAGAATTATTTGAAAATAAAGCCAGTACTCTTGTGCCTAAGAATGATTTATTCTTAGAACATTTGGGTTCCTGGTTTGCAGGGAAGAGATTTGAACTTGTGGGAGAGAAAAGGCTAGACTGATAAGTATGTAATGGGTTTAAAACTGACCTTAAACTGGTGGTACTGTAATATTTCAGTTTTCTGAAAATATCAGTAGATAGATCCAAAATATATTTCCAAACAATAAACAGCTAAAGAAGCCTCTGTGATTCTTAAATATTCCCAGTTTCACATAGGACAGCTCCTTTGGGCCTGTGTAGCAAATCAGAGGTAGTAGATGTTGGCACAGGTAGCTGCTGCTGCAGCAGGGAAGTAATCATAGTGAACTTGATGTTGACACACAAAAACTCAAAGCATTTTGAGTCGCTGTTTTAGCGGGCTGTAGTTTAAAGCAATTGGGTAAACTCTTATAGAGACTCAGATTGTAAATATTTTAGGTCTTGAGTATTAATTCATTGCTGTTGAGCATGAAAGTAGCTATAGATGATATGTAAATAAATGAGCAAAGCTATGTCACAGAATGGTTTTATTTACATTTACATAAAAACAGGTGCCGGGCTGGATTTGCCTGCAGGCTGTAGTTTGCTGACCACTAACTTTGAGGCAAATAAAAATTATTTCTTGATGACATCACTATTATACTAAGTATCATTTTTACTTCAGTGATCACTGACTTGTGAATTCTGTATTCAGTATTGCTTAAGAATCTGTGAAAACTATAAAAACAAAAGACTTTCATTTGAAAAATTACTGTTTTTGAAATGTACTGCTTAAAAAGGGAGTAGATCTCTTCATTCCCAAATACTGAATATAAAAATCAGTCACCCTAGCAGTTTTAGAATATGAGCCATCTCCTTCAAGGAAGATGTTATATATATATAACATTTAAATATATATATTTAAAATTAGAAGAATCCTGCAAAAGCACATAGTTTATGTTTTGAGGAAGATATATGCAGATTGCCAAGTCAAGTCTTTGGATTTAGTGCTTGCTCTGTTGGTGAAGTTAAATGCTAATATTTGGTCCACCTTTAAAATTTATATTACCTGGAGTGAAAGAATGGCTTTTTTCCTAAGAGTCTTACAAAAGGTTTAACTTGATTTGGCTTGGTTGTAACTGTGCTGGGTACTTGTATTTCAGAAACTTTGCTGAGTTTTAATAAAAATCTGAGTATGTAATTTTTTGCTTGGAATATCTTAGTGTATTTTATCTCTCAGCTATTATGCTTATTTTGCTGTTTCTTAAATAACTAATGCTATACTATGCATACTATAAAGGCGAACAGCTGCTTGGAGAACTACAAGTGAAGAAAAGAAAGCATTAGATCAAGCTAGTGAAGAGATTTGGAATGATTTTCGAGAAGCTGCAGAAGCACATCGACAAGTTAGAAAATATGTTATGAGCTGGATCAAGCCTGGGATGACAATGATAGAAATCTGGTAAAAAGGAATATGTTTTTGTAAGAATGTGATAAAAAAGTTTTCTTAGCTCTAACTCTTCAGGTTTATGTTTGTCTTTCATTACTGCCCTGCCAAAGATCTTTAAGTGAAGGTTCTAGAAATACTTTCTGTAAACTTTATAGTGTTGATGTAATGAGGAAACTGTAAAGAGGGTGTTTGCATCTCATCCACCCTGTTTTGTACTCGTGTTTTCATATGTACAAATGCACACATTACTGGTTCTTACTTTCTGTTTGGAAACCTGTTATTTTGCTAGCCAACAAGGGATATTAAATTAAAATTCTGGGACACAAAACATTTATAATGCAATGAAGAAAGTGATTATTTCTCCAGTTTTCCCCTTGAGAAATAATTAGCTATAGCTAATATTAGCTGCAACTTAATTCTCTGATTCTAAGAATTTTTAAAACTTGTAACATTGAGAAAAATGTAGTTAGCCTTTGGTCTAAGTCAAGAATCTTATTTCCTGATAAATTAAGTTGAAAATGGATCATGTTTTTCTGTTTTTCTAATGGATTTATAGTGGATTAAATTCTCTTTATTTTTTTAGAGATGAACTGTTTTCATAGTAGTTACTTAGTTGGAGAACTGTTACTTAGTCACATCCAGAAGGTGCTCAGATCACTCCCAGAAAGTAATTTAAGAGTTTCAGTCAACTTTCTGAACTTGATGAGCTGTAAGGTACATCAAGGGTAAGAATGTAAAAGTAAAGAAGTTCTTTCTCTTTTTTTAGTGAGAAGTTGGAAGACTGTTCACGAAAATTAATAAAAGAGAATGGATTAAATGCAGGCTTGGCATTTCCTACTGGGTGTTCTCTGAATAACTGTGCTGCCCATTATACTCCCAATGCTGGTGACACAACAGTATTACAGTATGATGACATCTGTAAGATAGACTTTGGAACACATATAAGTGGTGAGTTCTTAGAAATAATTCCTTGGGTAGGGCTATAGATATTGAACTCTTATCATTTTCCCTTTCTGATGTCTCACTTTTCAATAGAGCTATTAATACGTTGAGGCAGATTTTGAGATTTATGTTAAAGTATCCTGTTTAATGGAATTCAGTGAAAACTGTTGGGTAATTGAGGTTTGTTACCTATCATAGCAAGGATTGAAAAATAGACTCTTACATTTTCATTCAGGTCATTGTTTCAGACTTTTTTATTTGTAGAATAACAATAAACATTTACTCAGAACCTTTGAGTTTACCAACCTTTGAATATAATTGTTAGCTTTTCTCAATTCTTTCCTATACCCTGTTAGGTAAGTACCTTTTACTTTCACTTAACAGGTGAGAAAGCAAAGCTTAAACACTTGAGGTTTTACTAAATTGGAGAAGCTAGATTGATGGTTAGTGTCCTATGGACCTGTACATTTTCTCTGCCTGCTTGTGCTACTTAGTTCTCCAGGCTTTCTCAGTTTGATTTGTTTTTATTTTTATTTTTTTTGTATAACTGCCTGGTGAGTACTGAATTGGTGCTGTCTTGAAGTAACCCTGGAATTAATTTTGTCATTTTGAAATATTTGATTATGAATGCTGTCTACGTCCTTGAAGTTCTGCCTTCATTTGATCCCATCATTTTGTTTTTTTGTTAATTAGCAAGGTTAATTAATAATGTAGATGCTATAAAGTAGGTAATTTGACTAACTGATAATTAAACACAAATTTTCTCTTTCAGGTAGGATTATCGATTGTGCTTTTACTGTCACTTTTAATCCCAAATATGATACATTATTAAAAGCTGTAAAAGATGCCACTAACACTGGAATAAAGGTATGTGAACTGTAAGCACCATCTCATTTAATATATTTTGAGCACTTTATAGTCTGTTTAAGGACTTTGGGTTATGTAAGACTGGTCTACCACCCTTAGGGTTTTCAGTGAGTTATTGTAGTACAGTGTATAGAAAGCTTTTATAGGTGAAGTTATTTCTGATTGTCCCATATTTTAAGACATTAGAAAGTTAAGTTCCTGTAAAATTCTGTACCTTGAGTAACAGAGTATACATGATTCTGTTCTTAGTGTGCCGGAATTGATGTTCGTCTCTGTGATGTTGGTGAGGCTATCCAAGAAGTTATGGAATCCTATGAAGTTGAAATAGATGGGAAGACATATCAAGGTATGTTTTCTAAAAATGCATCTTATTTTGAAATGTCTTAACTTGGCAGAAATAATTTTGCATGATGGTGTTGAGTGCTTTCTTTGTTTCAGCTGCTTTATCTTTCTCTCTTGGAAATTAAGAATATAAAGAGGGGAAACAAGGGAAGTGACCTGTTCATGGTAGGAATTCTGTGGTAGCTAGTTGCTAGGAACTGTTAGTCTACTCTGGTCGCTGTTAAGACATGAGAGGATTTATCCCAGGGTGACCAGATGTAGGCTAGATTTTCTGTGACTAGTTACAAGGCTCAGGCAGAAGTAAGAGGCCCTTTCCATTGATGACTCCTCCCCTCTATTTTTATGTTGAATTCAAAATTTAGAGGCCAGTTACTTCCTTGTGTTTATCCCTTCCTTTAATGTTTATTCCCTTTGCTGCCTAGTCTTTCACAGCCATTGCCAGTTACACAATCCCAGAGTCACTTGTGCATTTTGGTAGTGTCAGTCCAACCTTTCTTCACTTCCCAGGGTCTATCTGACCACTTTCCAGCCATCATTCACCGTCCTAATCTGTGCTCATTGCTCTCTGTATCTCCTGTCTTAAAAACTTCCCTATGGGGTATTTCCTACATTTCCTTTAACCAGATCTCGACTCTTCCTTGTAATTTGAGGAAGCATGGAGACTCTCATGCTCCTTACCCCTCAGGGAACTCAGATCATTCAGTGTCCTTTGCATTCCCCTGCTGATACTTTTGGACTGTGGTGTCTTTCCCAACCGCACAGTGTTTCTTTCCTGTAAGACTTGATGGTGCCTTGTTCCTCCCTTGCAGAATCTTAAACCTATGAACATATGTACAAATAAAAAATTCTTTTTTTTTTAATTTTTATTACTTTTTACTTTGGTTTTTTTTTTTTTTTTTTTTTTGGATTGCAGTGCGTTTTCATTGCTGCCTGCAGTCTTTATTGCGGTATATGAGCTTCTCATTGTGGTGGCTTCTCTTGTTACGCAGCACAGGCTCTAGGTACACAGGCTTCAGTATTTGCGACTCTCGGGCTTAACTGCTCCATGGCATGTGGAATCTTCCTGGGCCAGGGATAGAACCCGTGTCCCTTGCATTGGCAGGAGGATTCTTATCCACTGCACCACCAGGGAGGTCGCACATAAAAAATTCTTAAGGCTTCTCACACATGGATGGGAGGTGTTAACAGCTAATGAAGAAAACTTGCTTTGGAGTTAGGCAAGTCTATCTTTGAGTTTAGATAACTTCTTTTTATTTTTTGGTTTAAAATTTTTTAGAATGTACTTATTTTTAATTGAGGGATTAATTGCTTTACAGTATTGTGTTGGTTTCTACCAAACATCAACATGAATCAGCCATAAGTGTACCCATGTTCCCTCCTACTTGAACATCCCTCCTACTCTCCTCACCCACCCCACTTTTCTAGGCTGTTATCTAGCCCTGGTTTGAGTTCCCTGACGCACACAGCAAATTCCCACTGGCTGGCTGTTTTACGTATGGTAATACATGTTTCCGTGTGGCTGTCTTCATCCGTCTCACCCTCTCCTCCCCCTGCAGCCGTGTCCACAGTGTTCTCCAGGTCTGTGTCTGCAGTGCTGCTGTGCAGTTAGGCTCATCGGGACTAGCTTCAGATAACATCTGTGACTTTGACTGTAGTGAGATTCATGATACCATGTTTTCTGTTTTGTTTTTGAGAAATGTAAATTTTATGACATGCCTGGAATTTATTAGTATTCAAAAAATATTTGTTGTTTCCTACCCCCAGTTTTGTGATTGGTCTGCAACAAATAATACTTATGTTTCTCTCAGATCATCTTTTCCTTCCATTTTCTCCTTATTCTACAACCTTGGTTGGAATTTGGTCTGCCTTTCAAGGCACAGTAGGTGACAGTTTGACTTAATGTTTAGTCACCACAGAACAGTTTCTAGCATGAAATGTTGAAATCTTTAATATCTACTTTCTTACCTCTCCTACTAAGCCGGTGCAGCATTTTAGGTTCTATTCTTTCAGCATTTGCTTTTTTTTGGTCAATTATTGTATTGATCAGGGTTCTTAGTTTAGGTAGAACGATTCATTTTTACTAGTCTAAGCAGAAAGAGTATAGACAGATCATGACATTTAGAAGATGAAGAAATGGACTACAGACTGAACTTCAAGAAGCAATTTCCCTAATCCATGTAACAGAATCAGGCCAGGCCATCAAGAGAGTGGAAGCTATAGAATTAGAAAATAACCATGATAGCTGTTGGTTCCAGAATTAGCCTGCCACTGTCCACAGCCTGTATACCTTGAGCCCTGCTTCTTCTATGTAACTTGGTTATATGTGTTAGGTTGGGATAGCTAAGAAATGTTTTTAAGTATGTTTTTGGTTGATCTAGGGGGTCAGTTTGTCGGGTCTTGGAGGAATAGTAATGCTTGCTGAATTTTAAAGCAAATTTAGCTTGTCGTTTATATAAAAAGGAAGACTTTTTTAAAAAGCTAATTAAGAGTCTTATTTTTCTGGACCACCCCTAAATTTGTAATATGCTCATCATTGCTAAAGATATGGGGGGAAAAAAAACCAAACCCTTGCTACCTAATTCTGCCCTAGAAGAAAGGTAACTCATACTGGATTCTACAGAGAATTCTAATACTATAAAACTAGATTTTTTTTTTTTAAGCTTCTATTGTGGAATATAACAAAACTAAAAATACACACAACTTAAAAACTTCAACTAAACAATTGTAAAAATGATGTAATCTCTGCTAAGCTGCTAAGTCACTTCAGTCGTGTGCGACCCCAGAGACAGCGGCCCACCAGGCTCCCCCGTCCCTGGGATTCTCCAGGCAAGAATACTGGAGTGGGTTGCCATTTCCTTCTCCAATGCATGAAAGTGAAGTCGCTCAGTCGTGTCTGACTCTTAGCGACCCCATGGACTGCAGCGTACCAGGCTCCTCCGTCGATGGGATTTTCCAGGCAAGAGTACTGGAGTGGGGTGCCATTGCCTTCTCCGTATATGACCTCACCCCTTGAGAAACAGGATATTGCCAGCATTACAGAAGCCCCCCAGCTTTATATACCCCTTCTTGGTTACAGAAGGCTTTTTCAAATAAGCCGTTATCTAAAGATTTGCATTTCCTTTTATCTTTACCTAATTATGCATCCCTAAACATTTAGTATATTGTGCTTAATTTTGAATTGTATGTGTGCATGTATATGTATAGGATTGTACCATATCTATATAATTGGGCCTTTTGCTCATTTGGTTGTTTCTCAGGTCAGTATATCCCTAGCTTTTTGTTTTTATTGTTGAATAAGTGTTCCACTGTGTAAACATACTCACAGTTTGTTTATTCTGTCATTGATTTTAGGACTTTGGGGTTGTTTCGATTTTCTTTTTTACCACTTGACATGGTGATATAATAATAAAATTTAGGGTTTCTTAATACTGTTGTTTTGACAAAGAATCCTCATTTTCAAATAACCTTTTGGTTCATAACCATAATAATACCTATTTTTCTTATTTGTAATGCTTATATACATGATATTTTATGCTTAGATGGTCCATAGATAGACCCCCATTATATCCTCATCACATAATTTATTCTTTTTGCATTGTTTCCCCTGGTCCTTCTGGTTTTTAATCTATAACATTGCAACAAATAACTTTTTATATCCCTCTAGTTTTCCAGTTTGTATTTAACTATCTTAAGGTAGAGTTGGGCTTCCCTCGTAGCTCAGCTGGTAAAGAATCCACCTGCAATGCAGGAGACCCAGGTTTGATCCCTAGGTTGGGAAGATCCCCTGGAGATGGATATGGCAACCCATTCCCAGTATTCTTGCTTGGGAAATCCCCTGGACAGAGGAGACTGGTAGGCTACAGTCCATGAGGCCAGAATAGTTGGACACAACTTTGTGACTAACCACTAGACCACTAATGTGGGGTTATTTAATAGCACCAAACCTGATTTTTAAGTAAATGCTTGAACTCTGTACCAAAGGCCAAGAGATCTGTTTGTGCCTTGAAACCCTGAATAAGTTTTTTTTCTATTATGCCAGTGAAACCAATCCGTAACCTAAATGGACATTCAATTGGGCCATATAGAATACATGCTGGGAAAACAGTGCCCATTGTGAAAGGAGGAGAGGCAACAAGAATGGAGGTATGTATACCATAGCACTATTCTTCTGTGAAGCATTTTGACTTTTTTTTCTTCCGAACTATGAAGCTAGTAGTAGTTGAGTATATAGTATGTTGAGCAAAATTACCTTGCCACTCATACTCACCCCCACAGGAATTGGGCTGTGTAAATGTGCAGATTGTGTCTGGTCACACTGGGGCTCAGTTGGCTGTGCAAGTGAGGCATGTCAAAGGTTTTGTCGATACTTGATGATTTATTGAGCATCTTGTTGGTGCCAGTCTCTTTAGTAGGCACTAAGATGTATAATAGTGGTGAACAAAATTTCCTGCCCATGTAAAGTCTTCGTTCTAATAGACCACACAGAGATCAAAAGTGCTAAGGAGGTAAATCAGGAAAAGGTAGATAAGGACTGCCAGGTGTGTGATTTCTTACATTAAATGGGGAATACCTCAACCTGAAGTTAAGATGGGAATTTTAATTCATTCTGAATTTTTCTTCGTTTCCCTTGACTCATATTATATTTTTAGGAAGGAGAAGTATATGCCATCGAAACCTTTGGTAGCACAGGAAAAGGTGTGGTTCATGATGATATGGAATGTTCACATTACATGAAAAATTTTGATGTTGGACATGTACCAATAAGGTGAGAGGCTATTTATAAGATTGATGAGTTTCTCTTTCCAGTTAACAGCATTTTAAAATGTGTGATGGACATCCACAGTGGTACATTCATAAATGCACAGTTCTATAGCCTCTAACAATAAGGTCTGTAAATTTCTATAATTCAGAAAAAAAAAAAAAAGCCCTATTAGAAATGTTAACTGAGATGAAATGATCTAAGTATTCTCTTCATATCTTGTTTCCAATAATTGTAATAATTAGATTATTATTTTGCTGGTATTCCTAGGTTTTTGTTTTTACTATTTTCCCATTGGTAAACTTTGTATTTTTATTTACTTTTTAAAAACTTTTTGGAGATGATTGAAGCCTCTTCTTTATGATCAGATCTTTTTCAGCTTGATGCCGAAATTTCCCCCAAAAGGGGAATTCCCACCTTAATATTATTGATAAGTTTGTACTTGAAATTTAACACTGCATGCATAGACATATAAATATAAGATAACCTTCATGTGTTCTTCTTTCCATCTGCCATCTGTAATTGAGTATTATACATTCTGGTTTTTGGAAGTTGAAAGAGGCAGCAAAGAGAGTTTTTTGAACTTTAATTACTAAGTCATAGTTTTTGAGTTTTCCTTAATAGGGGAAATGAGTTGGTAACTTTTTAGCCAACTATTAATCTTGGACTTTTCTCTTAGGCTTCCAAGAACAAAACATTTGCTAAATGTCATCAATGAAAACTTTGGCACTCTTGCCTTCTGCCGCAGATGGCTGGATCGTTTGGGAGAAAGTAAATACTTGATGGCTCTGAAGAATCTGTGTGACTTGGGCATTGTAGACCCATATCCACCATTATGTGACATTAAAGGATCATATACAGCACAGTTTGAACATACCATACTTTTGCGTCCAACATGTAAAGAAGTTGTCAGCCGAGGAGACGACTATTAAACTTAGTCCAAAGCCACCACAACACCTTTTATTTTCTAAGCTTTGTTGGAATACATTATACCAGATTTAATTTGCAACATGTTGTCTTAACAGTGGACCTATGTAATACTTTTATCCATGTTTAAAAAGGAAGGAATTTGATCAAAGGCAAACCATTTAATGTTATTAACCAAGGAAAAAGCTTCCAGGACTTTGAAATGTTAACCATTTTCTGTCTGTAAAGCTCCAAATAGTTAGGAATGACTTATACATTTTGTTTCAAACACCTAAGAGATGCTTTTCAGATATTTATATTGCCATATTCTTAATTGAATGCTTTGAATGACTACATCCAGTTCTGCACCTCTATACCCTCTGGTATTGCTTTTTAACCTTCCTGGAATCCATTTTCTAAAAAATAAAGACATTTTCAGATCTGAGAGCTATATTTCAATGTCTGTGGTTGTAATTCTCTATAGGAAATAGTTTAGCATAGCATAATGTAGGAAAATGTAGAGCCTTTTGTCTGGATTGTAGACCCCCACACTGAAACTTGCCTCCTGACTGGCTAAAACACGAACTAGACATAATATAAAGTGGGAGGAGAATTTTCATAAGTTAAAAACAGCTTTAGGAACATTTTGCTTTTACTTTTTTTAGGACAGTATTAATGCGTGTCTTTCATTTAACCCCTTGATATTAGAAAGATATAATTAAAACATAACTTAGTAGGAACATTGTGCCAACTTAATACATTGATTTACTAACATCTCAACATTTAGATCCTTTGTCCAGTGGTGGTAGTTATTGAAAAATGTATTTCGCTTACTTAGTAAGCCAAAAGGGCACTTAAAACCACACAAAGAAAAACAGTACTTTCCATGTTTAGATCTCATTCTAGTTATTTCAGTTACTACTTTTTCATCATGAACCAGATTCTCTAGCACCCTGCCCCTGGACTGGTTTGAAGTCATAACATCATGGGTGGTATTTCACTTTCAGGAAGTGAAGTTACAGTGACACTCATAGCAGCTAAGTATGTAAGTTGAATGTAAGATACCACATATTTGAACTGAACCCCACAGTTCTTAAAACAGATTGCTCGAATTCTGTGTAAGTGATTCGTTGGGAATGTTCCCACATAATTTCAAAATTGTTGTGTACCAGGGTAAAGCCTTAATTTGCATATGCTTTAGCACAGATTGCCTCGGGGATGCTGTTTAGTTTGTGTTTTGTTTAACATTTTTCTCATAGGAGAAACCTGACTTCTGTACTACATCATTTATTATACATTAAAAAGCTGCTCTTCCATATTAGAGCTACAAATGAATGTTATCTTGTGGCATACACAGCCTAGGTTTTAGCTATATGAGCCATGTTTATTATGGTGCTAATGTTCAATAGCTACCTTTGAATAATTTCTCCATTTCCTGTGATGATGTGCAAGTGGCAGAGCTCGCCAGTTCATGCCTGGACATGTTACAGGGCTTGGACCCTCCAGTTAGCTCTTTTGGGGATTTGGTGGGAGGTATAAAGTGTTTTTATTTCTAAACCCAAGAACTTTTGAACTGAGTCAAGAATTTGGAGCTTTGTAAGATCTCTAGCAGTAGTGACCTTCTAACTAATTGTAAGCTCCAAGCTCCCTTCCCAAGTTGGGAGCAATGGCTTTACTGCATGCCCCTGAAACGGCCGGAAAAAATATGATCCTGTAAATAGGAAAGCTGTTACTTAAAAAAAAAAAATTGTATTGTTTACCTGGTAGTGATGTATCTCTTGAAAATCATTTTGTCATGTTTACAATGATGTACCTTATTGGTAACAAATTATTAGTTTGATGTTTAACAGTAGTGCCTTTAGTAAATTATTTTACAACCAAAATACGTTGTTTTTTTGTTAGATAAATTTAACAATGTAGAAATCCACATTGAGATATACTGTAAGAAATCTTGACTTGGTTTTAGCTTTGTTAAATAGCCTTAATTTTTTTTTTTTTAGATCAGTTTTAGGTTCATAGCAAAACTGAGCACAAAGTACAGAGTTCCCTTTCCTTGACTTCACACACACACACAGCTTCCCCCATCGGTTTTAGTTTTAAGAGTTTAAAAAGTAAATGGCTAGCAACTATACCACTGTAAACAACATAGTTTCCAGAGTTGTTTTTAAACTGTTGCACTAAAATTAGGTACACTAAAAAATATAGTTTAATCCTTGGTGTTAAAAAAGGCTAGACTCAAGTATCTTACCCACAATAAATCTTTAATGAGGTATAATTACATTGACAGTTGAGGTAACAACTTGCATAGGTATTTAATAGATGAATAATTTTAAATCTTAGCCATTTAAACTCAAGCTGTAGTTTTGGCATGAATGATTTGTCTATGAAGTAATAAATTCTCATTGCACTTCATGATCAGCTGCCCCTGATGATTTCAACCTGCAAGCAAACCTACTTAAGAAAAAAGATAATTGATTTTCCAGTGGTTAACACCGATCTATAGAGGTTAGTGGAGTCTCTTCTTTCCAAATAAAGTTAGCAGCAGTAGGATTTTAAAGATATCTAATGAGGTTGTTAGGGAAGAGCAATGAGTATTTCATACTATATTTTTTTAATAAAATGCAAATGTGATTTTAATTTCAAAAAGGGCCCAATGTTTGAATATCTAAGAGGCTTTTAGTAGTCATATAATACTAGCAAGAGCAATTTAATGTGGCTTTAGTTACTTATTCTAAGTGAGATGAACATTTTGCTCAGATGCCAATTTTGAACATTCTCTGTCCTATGCAGTTTTTTTTCTCTTCAAGTCTGATTTCTATCCCTTTAAACCAAAAATCTTAAGATACAATAGTATAAAACTTTAAGAGATCTAATGTTAAATATATAAAATGAACTCATATCCAAGCTGAACTGTACTTGTATTACACCATAATATACTGTTTGCTACATTTTTTTTTTTTTAATGACTGCTTTATTAGAATTTGGACAAATGTTTGCTGTCAGACAAATCAAAATTATTAATATGTCTCAGCCATCATTATTTTCATGTCCATAGTACTGAAGCCATTTAAACATGCTATTTATAAAGCTGTCATCTTCCTTTGTATAACAGTTTGACTATGCCAAGTAAAATAATTTTTACAACAAACTTGAAGTTCTGTTTACCAAAGTAAAGTCTATTGAGTCCTGTCACACACAAAGCCTCAGGGGTATTGAATGATGAGTAGGTAATATTTCACTTTGCAGTAGTTGAATGGATACACCAATCTGAAAGAAATGCCCTTTTTCTGGTAAGACTTAGTGAAGCAAGTTTAATCTGTCTGATAAGAATTTGTATAGAAAATAACTATAAAAGATAAATGTATAAAATGATGCCATCTGAACTTCTTCAGTAGAAGATTGCACAAATTCATGATTGAGCCAATTAAGACATCAAAACACAAGAAAGGGGTAACATCAGTCTGAGGTAAACACTAAAAGTTTAAAACTCCCAAGTATTTAACAAAAATTACCTACTGACATTGATACACATATACTTAAACTAACTTCATTTCTGTAAAAAGATCTGTTGCAGTTAGATACAAAATGTGTAAACACAGTGTGCACACTGATTAGTAAGTAAAAATAAAAACAGTGAAGCCCCAAATTGTTAAGTCAGCCCTTTAAAAAAAGTATATATACAAATCACAAGAAGAAAACCCCCACTGTCTTTGGATCAGCTAAGGATTTCATTAGAAGAGGTATCAGCTTCTTCACTGGGATGTTGGCTACCATTCAGGAGTTCTGGAGGCAGGAGTTCAGAATGTCCATTCTCAGTAACTCGCTGGGTATAAAACAAGATATAAGCTTGGGCCTTGCATACTTCATCCATAGTGCACATGCTTAGCTTGGAATCATTGCAGTGTACCCAGAACCCTAGAGTGAAGCACAAAAATGTATCTTAATGTTTACAAAGGAACTTTAGAAATTTCTAGTATAAATGAAAACATGGATTTAAAGAGTTTCAGTGAGAGTTGAGGGTTTTTTTTTTTTTAAGGAAAAATAATTGTCTAGCCAATTTAGTTCTTTAAATTAGAAATAACAGCTTGGGCAGTATGTTACTCGAATCACCTACCTTTGTCCTAGAAGTAATTTGAAGTTATAGAATCTGATTCGTTTACTTGACACTATCTTTAACTCCTGGTATAATCTTACCAGTTAATGCTTTTGCTGGTAATTATAAAGCAAATTGTGTACAACTCATGGTAATATTAATTGCCTCCTGGGTTATACCGACTTTTTGTCCATACCTTTTTTTCTAAGGTTCATGGAAGCAGTATGCAAAAGTTTCATGTTAGAAGTTGAAATCAAAGCTGTTCCAAATATCTGTGATTCCCCAGTTATTAGGTGCTCTGTTCTTAAACAAAATTACCTGACTTCAACCAGAAGACAGAGGACCTACTCTTGGAAGTGTGCCTTTCGCACTATTTGACTTGTAACTAAAGAGATCATCCTTACTATTTTATCCCTTCAGCCCTTACGAGACAAAACTACCACAGTCCTGCATCATAGACTATCCCATTTTCTGCACAAAACCCCTGTTTTTTTCTTCTTCTTGAAAGAAAACAAATCAAGTGGCTTTTCTTAAGATTACTTAGTGTCTAATTTAGAAATCCGTGAAGACTGAACCCTGGCTTCCAAAAGCTTACCCCAAGATAAAATACTTTTTTTCATACCTCCTTCAGAATTGTAACAGTAGGCAGTGTAGTGTCCTGAGCCGAATCCTTTCCCATGGTGCATTACCACAGCAGATAAGTCATACATAAAACACTCTGGTCTGAGGGACTTCAGGGATTCTCTGCAGCAATAGGGCTCCATGTTTAAGATTTCTTCAAAGCCAACATGAACACCAATCTTCTCTCGGTTATTACGTCCTGACCACCTGCAAACAAATCAGGGTAAAATTGTCAGCAAAGTCAAGGGACCATAACCACGTACCTGGTCCAAACTCATAATATAGAAAACCTCAGAGAGCAGAGTACAATCC